ACAAAAAAACAATAAAATTAATAAAAAATAAAAATAAAAAAAATAAATCACTTTTCACCACTTGGTTTTTTTTTTTAATATAACATCTAAGTAAAATTTAGTTTAATTTCACTATCTTCAATATTATAAGTATAATTAAATAATACCAATCAATCATCCTTAAATATCACATCAACATTAATTTACTATTCATCAACTCACATAATTTTAACTAATCATCATTTTCAATTATATGTCTCCTATTTTTATATCAAATCAAATCACATATATCATATTTTTTTACATCAAATAAACTTTAATCATTTTATTTTAAATATTATATTAATACAAACTCAAATCATACTCAAATCTAACTCAACTAACTTTTTTAAAATTAATTTTAATTATCAAAAAGAACATCAAAACCAAAATATCCAATACAAATCTATATCCAGTCAGACTCATAAGTCATAACTCTAGACCAGTTTCGATTCAAGAATTTATGAACTTCACCCACCGGGTCTGATTGGGAACAAGGGTGTGTTCATTGGCCATATCTATATACAATACGAAGAGTATCTAGATGGCGTGTCATTATATAATTAGACATAATTTATTTTTTTATTCTTTTTTTATGCTTGGGCTTTGGTTACTTTGGCTAATCTATTTTTTTTCAAACTTCAATTATACTAATAACAAAAAAACTTAAAAGAGAGTTATTGACCTAGCGGTATAAGTCACACCCTTTTATGAATAAAAGAAATAACTATTAAATACACATGCACGTTATTATCAGACGACTTACGAGTACGAGAGATATCGCTGGTTCTAGTTTATTTACTGTGTCAATATAAAATAAACTTCTTCTCTGGGTCCATTTCAATACACATAAAATGTAATAGTATAATTCATTAGTTAAATTTAAATAAATTATATTATAGTATAAACATCCCAATAGGTTTGTACATTGCTATCTCGGTTATGAACATTATTTATATACACAAGGAACTGATAATATAATATTTTGTTCAACGATGTCATACTATATTATCTTCAATTTGAATAACATGATATATTTTTATTGCCATATTCAAAAATATAAATGCAAATACTTTTGACTAATTTTAGTTCTTATTTAAAATCGGGATTCGGTTTAAACTAAGGTGAACTTTAGTATACCAACCAACACAAGATTCACAAGATCTTAGTTTACTGTATTAGAACAATCAAGATATGACATTGGTGGGCTATTGTCTATATGACTGATTCCCCATAAAGTTAGTCTCGGACATGTTATATTTTTCCCTGTGGTGGTATTGCAATCTCTTGAAAGTCCGTCAAACAGTCTATGGTTACTACTTGTTCAAACCACACATAAATAATTGCTTTGCACGATACTTCACGAGAATGTGTATGATTAAGTATTCAACCAAACATATTCGTGGGTCATGTAGAATTACAACAAATAATATAGCCCCTACTATCCGTTACGAGGACAATGCAACTTGTTTTTCACAAACGAGTAGTGGGTGTGTCAAATGAAACATAATAAAACACTGTTAGGGTATACTGTAAAAGCTCGGCTTTGAGTTACTGACAATACCATTTTGATCTGGCAATCATGTTTTAGTCAAGTATTTGTGCTTGTAGTTTATTTATTTATGCAAGCATGAGTTCCTTTATTTTTCATTGTAGATAATATGGTTCGATGTGTCGAACAGAAAGATCATACTATCAATTCCTTGTAAAATATAAATTATTGATTCACAGCCTAGACAGAATTGAACCTGTTGGTAAAAGACTGTAGTGTAATTTTTGATTCAGTTGATCTTTGATTGATTAATTACACTAGTACTTTGAAAATATTGAATGGACTGCGGAGGATAAGATTATCTGAATACTGACCGATTAAATAATCTAGACCTCAGTAATTGATGCGTACTCTCAAGTCGTCAGATAATAAACGGTCATATATACTCATTACTTATTTATTTGATTTACCAAGGTTGATTCCTATTTTATTAGGATGACATACTCTGTAAATGATAATGTTTATATGATGGGTTGTTAAAATTATGTACGGCAATGACCCGGTCCGTCAGATTTGATGACGTCCCCGAAATTCAAGAAGGATTATTATGTTAAGCCCTACAGGCGGATAAATTCCAAAATAATGATTAAGGAACTGAGTGATACTTATTTCGGATCCTGCGTGATAAAAGAAATTTATTAATTTTATTGTCAGTAATTTAATAATCAATGGACGTTATATCTTAAACATATGAATGGTAAATCGATCAATTAAATTAATTTAATTAATTAAGTAGAAGGTTAGAGTTTATTGAATATATTAGAGTTAAATAAAAAAATCTATAATATTACTCTAGTGAAATATTTTATTATTTTAATTCAATTAGGAAAAGGAATTACTTTATCTTCTAGGATTTTCCTACGTAGAAGTATATATTTCTTTCTAGATTATTACCAAGGTTGGAAGACTTGGGAGTCTTCTCTAAGGGTGGGTTTGGTTGCTTTGATTGGACCTGATATCACGTGAGTTCTTATTATTTCCGCACAAATAATTAGTTTGGTTCATTTAATGTTGGCCCTTGAAATGTGCACAGCCCGGTCCAATTATACCCAAGAAATGGGAAACCACATCCGGCGATGGGCTAGGGATGCCATATCCCACTTAAACTGCTTTTCTGAAATTTGACCAAAACACCCTTATATAAAAATAGAGGTCATGAGATTTGCCTTCATTTGTTCGAGGATGTCTGTAAGCTAGGGTTTGTCCTGCTCCATGTGCGAAATTGAAGAGCATTACTTCTATCCTCTTCTTGTAGGAAGTCGTCCATCCACGAGTTCTTATACCCACCATGTAATTTATTTTTTCTTTGGTCTAACAATGTTTACCCTCTTTTGTTTTAGGTTTTTTTTTTCGAATTATCGCTGCTGGATCTTCTCGTCTTTGACTGGATTCGGACGTCTCTCCTCGTCGTCGCACTAGATAATTAATCTCTCCATAGCAGCGAAGGTTAGAAAACAATATATGTGTTTAATTATTATATGTTTGCAAATACTACATACATATCTTTATGTTCTTCTTTCGAGTACACGTATTGTTCTGTTTTTTATGATATTGGTTCAAAAAACACAGATTAACACTCTTTATTTTTATGGAGTACTTGGATTTTAAAATGAATTTGTCTACCCCGGTACTATGTTTGGTATTCAGTTTGAGCTACATAATATTTGGGCAATGACATGTTCGATCCGTGGATAAGTCAATGAATCATCACAATTTTCAAATTCCAAACTTGTTCTTATCATTGTTCTGTCTTTTGTGTTTTTATTTTTATTGTTATTTTTTTTAACCAAAGGTTGGGGTTGAGGTCGTGTACGCAATGTCCGAGATCTGTAGTAGAAAAGCTGAAGTTTTACTTCTACTAGAAGAAATCATAAAAGAATGTACCTTCTTTATGAGTATGGTTGTTGCAGCAGGAAGGAGAGGACAACGTAATAGGACTAAATTTTTAACTAAACGAATCAAATATGTGATGGCTTCTAGGATTCCTATGCAAATAGAACATTTAAACAATTTGGTCGCGCTAAATGAATTAGATTGTATGGAGAATCTAAGGATGACTAAGGGAGCGTTTGCAAGGCTTTGCTACATTCTTCGCGATGCTGGGGGATTATCTGATTCCAAATATGTTACCCTTACGGAGAAAGTGGCACTCTTTTTATCCATCATAGCTCACCATAAGAAGATGAAAGTTGTAAAGTTTGATTTTAAAAGGTCTAGTCATACCGTCAGCATATATGTGCATGAGGTTTTATGTGCGATTTTGCGGCTCCACTCTATGCTTCTAGTGAAACCAGAACCCGTAGATGAGTCATGCCTTAATAACAACAGATGGAGGTGGTTCAAGGTAATTTTGTAATATTTTATTTTGAGATTCTTTATAAAAAAAATATTTTTTCAGTTTTAATAAACGTAAGGAAATCTTAATGATGATGCACGTTTCATAGGGGTGTCTAGGTGCTTTAGATGGCACTTACATTAGAGTGACAGTGGCGGAAACTGATAAGCCACGCTACAGAACAAGAAAGGGTGAAGTTGCAGTAAATGTTCTAGGCGTAGTAGACCGTAATCTAAATTTTGTCTACGTTCTATGTGGGTGGGAAGGCTCTGCCGCTGATTGTCGTGTGCTAAAAGATGCTGTAAGTCGATCCAACGGGTTAAAAATACCTCGAGGTAATA